CCATGGGTGACCCTACTAGGGGCATAAAGCCCCTGACAGCATAGCTCCTAGGATCATTGGGACACTCAAACCCCTCCACCACGGTAAGGTGGCAGCCCAGGGAGGGGTGGGTTTTTTTAAAGTGAAAAATAAAAAAAACTTTCTCCAAAAACTGAGTTTTTCATTCTGACAGGTTGAATTAATATGTTCCGTTTTCTGTAAGCACATCCTACACAATTAATGAAAAGGTTAGACCGAGGCAACCGCTCAAAGATAAACGAAAAGGAAAACAGTTTAGGTGTAATGACACACAAAAATGCATGGAGGCAACTCTGCAGCTGCTTCGAATGAGAGGGATAAAAATCCTGTTTTATCTGGACGACCTCCGGCTGTTATCTCGGTCCAGAAAAGAGGCAGAGACACAAACAGTTGTTTTAGTGAATCACCTGTCCCACCTGGGATTCAAAATTAATTTGGAGAAGAGATCTATAATTCTGTCCCAGTGACTTACATTCCTGGGAGTGAATCTAAACTCACTGAACATGACAGCTGTCCTGTCAGAACAGAGGAGGGAATCCCTGACGTCATTGTTTCAGTTTGTCCGGCCCCTCAGGACAGTAACAGCGCTGGCAGTCATGAGACTGCTAGGAATGATATCAGCGGCTCACGTTGTGGTGCCGCTGGCGTTATTGTTTATGTACCACCTGCAAAGATGATTCAATCGACTGAAAGTCAACTCTGTATGTCACAAACGTGCCTGATCACCGTTCCTCCATCTGTGGGAGCAGATCTGAGCCACTGGGAGAATTCCCTGAACCTGTCAGAGGGCGTTCTCCTAGGCAAAGTGACATCATTCACGTCAATGTTCACAGACGTGTCCCTCTCCGGCTGGGGAGGGACCTGCCTGTCACAAATGATAATAGGTGTGTGGCCAGCCGGCACGTCTTATCACATAAATGTTTTAAAACAGTAGAAAAAAGTGCTCAGACATTTTGCTCCACTGGTTCAGGATCATCACGTTATGATGCACACAGACAACAGAACCGCAGCAGTGTACATAAATCGCCAGGGGGCATGCGTTCAGCCCAGCTGCTGAATGCAGCCAGGAAACTGCTCTGCTGGGCGCACACATATTTATGTTCGATCAGAGCAGTTTATATCCCAGGCGTTCTGAACAGAATACTATTATGTCGAGAGGAGGTCCTCTGGACAGGGATTGGTCTCTTCATCCAGATCTAATCTTGCGAATTTGGAGCAGGTTCGGGAGAGTGGAGGTGGACTTCATGGCCACCCAAGAGAACTCTCAGTGCACCCTGTTCTCCCTAAATCCACAGGATGCTCCACCACTGGGGGTGAACGTGTTTGCACACAAACCATGGCCAAAGATGCTGATTTATGCCTTCCCTCCAGTTCCCCTGATATCAGCACAGTTGGAGAGGGTGAGAGAGGAGAATCTGAAAATGATTCTGATCGCCCCAAAATGCATGAACGCCTCATGGCTCCCGATTCTGCAACAGCTGACGGGTCAACCATGGAAGTTGCCATGGAGACAGGACGCACTCCTGTAGGCTGGAGGAGTAATCAGGAGCCCCCTATAATAGGTCAGCCCCTTTGGGTCTGGCCGCTGAACGAGAACGCGTCGAAAAATTTGGGTTTTCTAAAGACGTAATATGTACCATCCAGGGGGCACGCACAAAATCCACTATGGCTGTTTCCACTTCTAAATGGGCTGCTTTTCAGCGCTGGTGCCTAGAAAAAGGAGGTGGACCCGACTTCATGTTTTCTGGGCTGCATTTTGTCCTACCTGCAGCTGCTGTAGGACAGATATTTAGCTTTCAGCACAATTAAAACTTATGCTGCAGCAATCTCCTCCTGTCATTAAGGTTTCAATGATAGAACAGTTTTCAATCACCCTTTAACAAAACCGTTTCTGAAAGGTGTGCGCCGGCTCAGTCCAGTGACACACGCTCTGGCACCACAGTGGGATTTAGTCTTCGTTCTCAGTGTACTCACTAAAAATCCATTTGAGCCTCTGGACCAGCTACCTTGAAGAATCTGCCGCTCAAAACATCCTTATTATTAGCTCTGACATCAGCTAAAAGAGTGAGCAACTTGTCAGGTTTGTCCGTCGCTCCTTCTTGTCTCAGAATTCAAGGAGACAGGAGCTCAGCAGAACTCTGACCAAATCCTGCTTTTATACCCAAAAGCATAACAAGTTTGTTCAGGTCCAGAGTCATTACACTGGATGGGTTCTGTCCCCCTCCCCATAAAACTACGGAGAAGGAACAGCTGCTGTGGCTGAGTGGTTAGAGATGTTGTCCTCCAATGCGAGTGTTGGGGGTTCAAATCCACCTGCAGTCACATGCTGAAGGCATGGGCAAGACACTGAACCCCTCATAGCCTCTGATGTGTGTCCCATCAGTGTATGAATGTGATCTAAAAGCACTGATTAGTCTCATTAGAATGATTTGTTCAATTAGCTTTGTAGAGATCTAGTAGAGTGCTGTATGAATGGGTAAATGAGGACACAGATTGTAGTGTAAAGAGCTTTGAGCATCTTGAAATAAGATAGAAAGGCGCTATATAATTACAGTCCATTAACAGTTTCACCTGCTCTGTCCAGTACACGCACTCAGGTGTTATGTGACATGCACAGCCGCGATGCGTAATTCCGATCAATTGTTTGTACATTTCAGAGAACGATCACAGGGTCAGCCTTTATCTTCCTAGCGTCTGTCACATTGGTTATGTGAAGCTATTTCACAAGCTTATAGTTCTTCTGGCCTTCAACCGCCTGAAGGACTCAGGGCTCATTCCACCAGAGGGATTTCTACCTCCACAGCTCTGCACAGAGGGGTGTCTGTGCAGGACATCTGCCCTGCAACTTCATGGTCATCACCGACCCATTCCATCCGTTTTTATTTACGAGATGTCTCTAGCTCTTCACTGACACATTCATTTCTCAGAATTATGTCAGAGTGATTTTTCACAATCACAAAACAAAAATAAATAAATAAATAAAATGAAATAAATAAAAACAACAAACTAAAACAACACAACCTTGCTCTGTCATTATTAGTGGGCGTTTTCTACGATTACTCGTTCAAACAGGATAATTCCTTCTTCCTCATTGGAAATTTTTCCCTTCTATTATTCCTCTATTGCCTGATATGAATAAACATTCTTTCAGTTAAGATCAGGCACAGATGCTGCACGCCTGTAATCTAGTACGCACCAGGTACATGGATCAATGGTGCGTAATTACGCTTGAATAAAGAAAGAGGTTTAGGCGGGTATCAGGGTGTTTTTGCTGGTTCTCAGACAGACCCAGTGAGACATGGACCATATCCAGCTCTGCCCTTTAAACCCAATAGTGACAGCTTTTAAAGGGTGTAGCTTACACGCAATAGATTGTTGGTTACATATTGTAACCCCAGATTCTATGAGTTTAAGCGTAGCCCTTAAAAATTGGGCCTCACTGGCTCTCAAAAGGCTGAAGAAAAAGAGTAAGCCTTTGGGAGTCGAGCTCCGGTCCAGATGCAATTTATAATGCACTGGGTGGGGCCCACACAGCAGGTGGGCATGGACTAGAAGTTTTCAGTTTTTGGTACGCTGCGCATGGGTAAACCCAACAGCGACAGCTTTTAAAGGGCTACACTTACACTCATAGAATCAGGGGTTACAATACATAACCAACGTTTTTTTCTCTCACACTAATGTGGTTTTTGCTCAAAGAGTTGTTGATGTAACTGTATGTATGAATAGCACAGCGTTCTTTCCAGTTTTTTTTTTCTTTACTCACTTATGGAAGCTTGGGATCCTCATGGCACCCACTTCTGCGTACCATCCTTCTTTTTTGTTCCTGAAGGTCTCCACTCGTCCTCCGATACGGTTACTGGCCTCTATTACAGTCACCTTGTTGTTTACAGGAACACATAATGAACACCCATTAAGTACAGCACTAGTCAACACATAGATAATGTACTGTTGTTTTTTCACCTTGTGTCCAGAATCTTCTAAAACCTTTGCCGCAGTGAGACCAGCCATGCCCCCACCAATGACTGCTACATGATGGGGCATCTTTGTAGCAGGAAGCCCTTTCGTCATGATGTCAAGGAGCTCGCTGTAGTCCGTGTCCTGGAGGCACTCAAAAAGAGGGTCTCCACTGGTCCTACTTGCAGCAAAAACTATCACTCCCACTAGTACCAGAGGAGCTGAGGGGTTAAATAAATATACTGTATATAATTTAAGACAAATAACCTAGACTTAGTAGCTACATTTAAAAGCTGTGGATTTTGGGTGGTAAAGCTCAGACTGAGCTGCCACATATGTTGTTTTACCAATGAAATAAATTCTTAATGGGGACTTATTTGAAACTTACCAAATTTGCACAGTGCCATGATGGGCATCTGTTGGAGGACAGAGCCCCACCGTTCAGAGCACTTCACTCTGCTGCTGACACAGACACCAGGAGAGGAAATGGAAACCTAACACAAGCATGCTTCCAGTTTACTGGGCAAGGTTCAGGTTATATATATATATATATATATATATATATATATATATATATATATATATATACATATACACATAATCCATTTTTACTTCAAAAACACTAATTTAGTATAATAAATGGTAAATGGACTGTACTTATATAGTGCCTTTCTATCTTATCGAGATACTCAAAGCGCTTTACACTACATTCTGTGCCCTCATTTACCCATTCATACAGTAATCTACTAGATCTGTACAAAGCTAATAATAATAAAATGTAGCTGATGAATACCAGGTACACTAGTTTAACTCACCTGTGTCAGAGGAAATGTACTATAAGTTGTTGTAGACCTGAGCATGACTGCAGAGGAATGACCCGAGTCTCCTGAGCTTTAAGTACCAAAGCTGGGACTGGACAGTCAACAGGCTGAATGGAAACTGCGTGGTACGTGCCACATTACGCACAAGGTCATTTTAACGATGGACTCTGTGACTCCCTGAGGTCTTTCTAAAAATTTTCCCACACTGGCTCGAGAGTCAACCACACTGAACAAATCAGATTAGTGAGGGGTATACCAGTCATCAGCACACCTCATTTCCCCCATCTCAATTGTTTTTAATATCTGACCCAAATGTGCTCAGTGGTCCCAGCAGAAAGCTCAGGGTCATTGTAAAGCTGCTTTCTTTTAACAATCTGTCTAGAAATTATTTTCAAAATTCTCTACTTAGTTTCAGCAAACTAGGTGTTTTCCCATAGAAACAAAATGTGAAACAAATCACCGCCCGTTTCTTCAAGCAGTTCTAACTTTTACCCTGTCGATCAGAGCAAAGTCCAGCTGATTTCCACTTAAACTTTGTCATAATGAAGCAACCCACAGGTTATTTGAAACTGTGTCCTTTAAAGTTTTATTCACATCTTTCGTCATGATAAAAATGCTAATGGTCAATTTGGCATGTTAAGTTTCTCTGTCAGGAAAACGAAACTTTCCCCATCCTGCTTTTGATTTCCTTTGTGGCAGCAGCACATTACAGCCATCAGTGTTCTCGTCTGTTGTGGAAACAAACAGAAAGGAACGAGTCCACTGATCACAAGCTCCTAACTGTAATGAGGCTCAGGAAGTTCAATCAGCCATGTAAATGTATAATATGCAGCATCCAGTTATCCAAGACCATGAGAACCTCAAGGCTCAGAGACAATACACTAAGTCTGCTTGATTTAGGTTCCAGAAAGAGAAGAGATTTATCCCCAGTAATGTTAAAATAATTGAGTTGAAAAACTTGTTCAGTTGTGGTCAAATGTTTACATTCACTCATCATGGGCATAAAGGTAACTATTTCAAGGCTTTTATAGGTAATTGTGTGAATGATGAATCAGCATTCTGTGCATTTTTTTTTTTACCATACTTGATTGATTGGAGAGAGTGGTGAAGGCTGCACAGAAGACTGTTGGAGTCAGCCTCCCCACCAGCACAGACATCTACACTGGCGGCTGTGGCTGAGTGGTTAGAGCATTCATCCTCCAATGCAAGAGTTGGGGGTTCAATTCCACCAGCAGTCACATGCCGAAGTGACCATGGGCAAGACAATGAACCCCTCATTGCCTCCTATGTGTGTCCCATCTGTGTATGAATGTGATAAAGCACTGATTATTTTGTTGTATATAGTAGAGTGCTGTATGAATGGATAAATGAGGACACAGGTTGTGTTGTAAAGAGCTTTGAGTATCTTGAT